TCCAGCATCTCTCTAATCCTCTAACCCTTCATCTCAAGCAGAAAGTGGTGGGTTTGTCCCACCATGTTCCCTTCCCAAGCCTGTGGGGACCTGGTGCAACCTCATGGAGAGCTCCCAGCTGCTCACCTTGAGGGTGGTGGCTGCTCTGCTCACCTGTCAGGTGGTTTCTCTGCTCACCTCCAAGCTGTCATCAGCATTGACCATCCAGCAGTCGGTGCACGTGGCCAGGAGCAGGAAGAGAGTGGAGAGGAGAGTGAGCCCAAACGCTGTCATCTGCAGGGCTGAGCTCATGGGGGCACCTGCAAGGGCACAGGGACATCCCCCACCTCTGCTCTGGCTGCTTCCAGCCACCTGATCCACCAGGGACAAAGTGCCACTGGCTTTGTCAGGTGTCCTCTGGATCCCAAAGAGCCATCTGGGCCCTGCCTCATGGTGCTCAGTGATGATAAAATGCTCCAGTGCCCTCACCCAAGATTGGGCTGCCAGGTTTATACACAGAGAGAGCCTTCAGGGACACAGCAATTTTGCAGTGGAGATATTCCCACAGTGGTTCCCTCTCTTCCAAACAGAAGCTGCCAGCCATCAGCAGTTGCCCTTTGGGAGTCAAGAGGTGCTGGAAACCACTGTTAAATAACTGCTGCTGCCAAAACCTGTGACCTGGGTGGGTCTGCTGGTGTCCAGAAGTTCTCTGGATGTCTCCATCCCTGCAGCCATGTGGCTTGGTGGGATCATCATCTGCCTTTTCTTGCTTTTTTTTTTTTGCCTTTTTTTTTTTTTCCCTCCAAGAAAAGCCACGAAGTGTTGAAACATCCAGGTTGGAGCACAAGAGAGTGTCCAACGGAGGTGTCCTAATCCCAAACTCGAGCCTAAAGAAGCATCTCCCATTCCAAGATGGAGAAGAGCAGCTGGGGCTTGACTTGGGTGCCCTGAGGAGCTGCCAAGGCTTTCCAAAGAGCAGAAGGGATGGGACCATCCCATTTCCATCCTGCTAGAGATGAAGAGACTCTGCAGGGAAGGGATCTGTGCCCAAGGTGTGGACATCGCTGGATGGGAATCCCACCTTGCCGTATTTTGCAGCCCAAAATACAAAATATTTTAGTGCCTGAAGTTGCCACCACTGCAACAGCCTTTTGGACGGGGGTTTACATGGATTAGTTAATTAATTAACAAGACCAGGTGAGTCTCTGAGCTGCACAGGTTAATTACCACGAGGTGATAACTTTGTCACCACCAGGTTTGGTACGTCCAGCCAGAGGCTGCCCACCCTGGCACAGCCCTGGCTCCCTTTGGGGCAGAGCTGGGGAGGAGGGTCACGGTCCCCACACCCAGCGTGCCACATCAGCCCCCACATCCCCTCTTGGGATGTCGCTGGGAGCAGAGACATCACTCCCCCACCATCTCTGAGCACTTCCACCAGCTTCACTCTAAGTGTGTCTTACCACAACCAGCCTCCTAAACCCCCAGTTTACCATAATTTTTTTTAATTTCCCAGGCTCCATTCTGAGCTAACTCTCCATAACCATATTTGTTTCCACTAGACCCTGGTTGTTTTGCAGCTTTTGAGGAAAATCTGTTCAGCCACTTGAGTTATATGAGCAAGAGAATTAAAAAAAAAGGAAGAGAAAGAAATTCTTAATGCTGGGAAAAACCAGCCCTAAATAAACCCTGCTGGCAAGAAAAGGGACATTACCTTCACCACAGGCTCATCGTAGCTGCAGTGGGATGATGACAGAACCTCTTTGTCGCCGATGGTTTGGGATGGGGATGTGGGTCTGGAAGGCTTTTAAATGCCAGTGGGATTCGATCTTGACCCATCTGGTGGAGCCAGGGGTGGGCAGTGCTGGCCAGAGCCTGTGCTGGGCTATTTAAGGTCCATCCAAGGCACGTCAGCCGAGCTTTGTGCTCTGAGACGTGATGGGCATCCCTGCAGTGAGAGCACTCAGAGGCTGGGAATGGAGCCTCCACAAAAATGTCACCTGGGGAAACCTCTGGGAACCCACTGGGAACTCTCTGCAGGTGAGGGGACTCTGTGTCCCGGGCAAATATCCCCCGTTTTTTAATTAGACCTTTTAATTACTGCCTAGGGGTGAGCGGCCTAAGACCCAGGAGTGGTGCAAGAGAGTCAGAGGGATGGAAGGGGCCAAGGAAGGAACCTGGAATGCCAGGATGATAAGGAACTCTTTTGGTTGGTAATTAGGACCCTTCTTTCCCCTCCCCCCCCCCCCATTAAGCAGAAAACGAGTGACAACCCCTGCAGTGGTGGTGGCTCAGGTACCCCCGAGGAGGTGCCTGTGGCCCTGGGGAGCAGCACCCCAGCTGCCTGCCACCTAAAAACTTCATGTTTATTCCCTGATCCTCTACTATTTGGGAAAAAA